CCCGGACCCAAAAAGAAGAAACAAACCAAAATCAAAACCAAAAACAAACAACAACGACAAAAAGCGCCCCCCCCTCCCCCAACGGCAACAGCAAACAAACTAGCATCAGAACAACAATAGTTTTGTGATATATCATTTCAGGGAGCTTAAGATTACAGAGGAGATTATTAAAATTCATCCGTGCATTACGTGCAGACGTAGACTGATACATGTTTTATAATACCGAAGTCTGTGTACTCTTACGCACTTCCGGTTCACTAAGAAGCCTACCATTTGACCCAAATAGGAACAATACGAAGGACTCTGACGAAAAGGTGGTTAGCGCGCACTCGACTATAGCGACACGGACATTTTCCCCTTTTTGGGTAGATTTTTGGTAAATTTATAGAAACCCTACCGTCTCATAAAGGGTATTATTTTGTAGCTCTTTATGTTTTTTTAGGGCCCTGAACACGATTTTGGTATTGGAAAACGTCGCAAATGGTTAGTGGGGCAGACCCCCGCCGAAACCACCCCCCTCCCCCTTTACGGATGAGTAAATGTCGTCAGGGAAGTGAAATTTAACTCACCTAAGTTTTAACTTAACCGTTTGGAATCTGTAAAGTAGAAGAGATGCTGGGGCCCGAGAAAAAGATCAACTTATCCAAATATCAGCTCAAGCGAGTTCAACACAAGCCAAGTCTACTGTAATTCAAGTCTGTGTGTATAACCTGCAATTATCCCGCAAATATCCAAACAGTGTAAAAATTAAACATTGTACTTATTTTTCTTATAAGTTAGAATATTATCATTCCATTTTAACTCTCTGATCTCTCTCTCTTCAGAATTGTAAAGATGAGTTTGTAAATCACCGTCCTTCGTGCAAAACTTTGGGGACGTTGGGTGACACTATAAAAGGCAGCTCCACTATAAATGAGCGGCACAGAAGGTGCCCGCCTTATGACTCGAAATATCGAAGGAATGTATGAATATCACGATTCGGACGTTTGACTACCACAGTGACCAATTAATGAAACTACTTCCAGTTTTACTCCATCGTACCCAATTGCCGTAATTCACTGACAATTGATACGTGAAAGATGAAACATTTCAATAACGAAGACATTATTTTAAAAAAGCTTTCAAAAGACGGACACTAACAATGAACTGTGAAATTTAAAACGCTTTTGTTGAAACTACAAAAGACAACCACGCAAGTTGATGTGGGAAGAGCGAACATAAAACATCATTCTCACTGTCAAAATATGTCTTGTCTGGGGCAAACAATGGTGGTTTTGATTCTCCTTTCCTCTCTTTCATCTCTTTCATTCGAGGCTCTCTCATGAATGAATTGTTGTTCATTGTGGTGTTCGCTGCCTAGGTGTTCATGCTGTGTGGGTGGTTATTCATTAATGTCACGCATTGGCGTCCTCGGCTTTTCTTCCCCTGGATATGTCCGGTCATGTTCAGTTGTTTCAAACTTCTTTTTTGAGCTTTGAACTGATTACATGTTTTTATTCGTAAATCCAGCATACTTTTATACTTTGACAGCGATCCCAACATTTTCACTTCGGCTGGAGTGGGTCGATTTTATTGATAGTCTTGTTGTTGGTGGGGGTACGGTTTTTTGTTTGTTTGTTTGTTTGTTTGTTTGTTTTTTGTAGAAGAGGGAGGGATGTATGTTTGTTTTCGTGTAGGTATTTTTACACTCCCACGAGCACAGTTTGGGAGGGCCAAGCCGGCCTGAAAGGGATACAACGTCCCAGCAGAAAGACTGTGATGCTCGATAAAAATTTATCCCCATTCGGGAATCGAACTCGGGTCTCCTGCAAGCGACAGCGAAGCGTCTTACCGCTACATCACGATACGCAGTTTTCTCCTTGGTTTAATCACAACACAATTCCCCTTTATAATATTGTCCTTATAACTTCATTTCAATTCTTCTCTTCTCCCTGCTCAGACTCAGACTGTTCAAGATGAGCTCGTCCAAGCCAAATGTCAAGGTCAAGCCGCCAGCGGAGAAGGACGCGGGTGACCTTGACCATGACCTTGACCTGGAGGCCCCGGATGTGTCCGACACCAGCTGCGGGATGTACAAGTGTCACCCAAGGGTCATGCAGCCGTGCGCCAGCATTGGCTGCTTCACGGGTATCTACAGCTTCGCCGGTCTCATGACGTCAACACTTTCCATTTACGTGAACTCACAGGTAAATGAGGAGAAAGAGAAGGAGGGGTAGTGAGGGATGATATTGATGATGATGAGGATGACGAGGAGGAGGAGGAGGAGGAAGAGGAGGAGGGAGATGACTTCGAGAAGAGAAGAAGAAGAAGAAGAAGAAGAAGAAGAAGAAGAAGAAGAAGAAGAAGAAG